CTTAAGGGTGTCAACACTGATTTGACCAATTTCGACCCGATCGTTGTTGAAAGTTTCAACTTGAAACCCATAACTTATGGGCCATAGGGTATTGATATCTCGAAGTCGCTGGGCCATTTGGGCTATGGGGTCCTCTCAGCCAATCAGAAGCCAGTATTTATCATCTCAGCCAATCAGAAACGAGCAAGCCCCCCAAAAAGCCCTTCCCAATTCCATCATTTTGATTCCGCAAAAAAAAGCTGGCTCGGATTTTGGGTGAACATCGACTCGACTCCAGCTCGCACAACACTTGGTGAGCTCAATAATGCATCGTTTATACAGGCACAATTTAGTACCTGCGAATTACTTATTCAGAATACTCAAGGGAAACCACCGCAACATAGCTAATTACTATCTTTGGATTAACATTAATTTATTCTGCTAAGAGTCTCTCTTTTTGCTGCTAAGGTGGCACTTTTCTAGTCTAAATAGAATAGTTAAATACTAAATTTGAACATAAAATTGAAATAATTTATTAAGGAATAACAACGGTTTGGACTATTTCATCGATGAGTAGCTCAGGAACGGTTCTAGAGCTCTCTTTTCTTGGTGATTTTGGACGAAAAAAGCGCTCTAGAACCGCTTTAAAAGCGGCAAGTTCACTGCCAAAGGTTTCATACGTCAAAGCGATCGACATCTGGCTAATGCTCTGTCTCACATACGTTTTCGCGGCTCTGCTAGAATTTGCGTGCGCCAATTACTTATCCAGACAATCCGAGGGGATACTTTATGGCAGGAAGCTCAAGGTGAGATACAGGATGATCCGTCAATTATCGCATCTGACGTACCTAGCTGAACCAACCTAGCGATGATACAATTAGACATCATGTTCAATGTAAAAAGGCTCATGCATTTCAATATGCTAGGAATGACATCATTGAACTTGTTTGAACGAAAATTATCATTTTCAAATGAAGAATTATATTTTTCAAATGCCTTGGGGGTCCATTAAGGCTGAAACCCTTATTTTCCAGAAGCTTCCTTTTCAATAAAATTGGATTAAATGAAGCCTCTGTAAAGATTAAGGGTGGGATGAAGTAAGCTCATTTGAATAAAAGAACATAAATGTCTTAAATTCAAAGTCTTACTGTATGTAACTGTCAGATATAAAACGTCACCTATCTTTTGAGATGGCTTCCTTTGCCCTTATCTTGACCGTTACCCTTATCCAATTTTTTGTCATGAGGCCCCTTGAGGGTTAACCCTAACCCTAAAGAACCATTCGTCTTTTAACAAGTTTGTTCTAGCTAAAACATATTGACCGCCTAATTCGACGAATGATATCTTGCCACTCCCACTCTTCAAAAACCAGCATCAAGCAATCTTCAGTCGAGAGAGTTGAAAATGAAAATGGAAGAGGTCCTCGCGCCCAAACTCAAACGCGAATGATGATTATGATGAATCCGTATCCAGACTCAGAGAAGCAGGGCTACCAGACGAATGGGATCAATCAAGTAGTCAGGAAACTGGTGAGTTATTTGGACAAAAAAGGGGGTGATTAAACTTGCAATAAGCATGCTCCAAAGAGACATAGGACTGTTCCTGCGCGGCCTGTCAAAGAGATTCTAGAGGACACCCTTAAGGAAGACGTACAAGCTTCAAATGTAAGCTCAATCCATAAACTATCCAAAACTCGATTTAAAATTCAGTATTATCGCACAATGGCAAAAAGCCTTGACCGTACCTCTCGATTGCTCTTCCCGCTTTCGTTCGGCATTCTGTCACTGATCTACTGGAGCTATTTGTTCTACACGGACAATTTTGAGAAAATACTCGAGCTGACGGGTGGCACGGACACGTACCAGGCGTATGGCGTGGAATCGGAGAAAGAGCTTTGAATAAAGAAAGAATTGAAATGAACTGCCGTGTAAATAAAATTAGACATCTTCTGTTTCTTCTTGAAATTATTTAGATATAGGATCGTTATTTTAATATTCAATTGAAAGGGGCTATAAAACCTTTTTACAGTGAAAACCCATTTTAAGGCCGGCCCTTTTAAGGCCACTTTTTCGGAAAATCTCCAAAATCTGTCGTCCTCAAAAAATCCATTTTAAGGCCACTTTCTTTCAATTTCTATTTAATATCTGATTATTCGACTGCGGGATGTCTTGTGTTTTATCCAGAGTTGGTAAAAATGATAATTTTTATTTCTCTTTTTTTGTACTCTATGATGATTTTTTCTCGAATTTTTTAATTGACGATGATTTCTTACGGTCCTCTTTAAATTTTGACTTAGATTTGAGTCCAAGAGTTCCAATCTATCATTAAATAGGTGTGTATAAACACGCAGACGAATTTACAGACCATTTTTCTATCGAAAAAGCTCAGTAATTGTCTTCTTCACGTCACTATTCTTTGACGTCTTCACTTGAATCTCTTCATATCTTTTTTCTTAGCATTTGTCATGTTTATCTTTTTTCAGACGTGTTTTTCGAATATTATTTTTGAAATAATGAAAAAAATAATCACCTTGAGTTCAGTTAAAAGGACACATTTGGAAAAAGTCCATGATTTATACTTTCTTCGAGCGAGAGAAATATGCGATAACCCTATAACCCTCATTCATCATTTTTTATCCAAAGAATGGAAAAAATTTGTTGTCATCCGACTCGAGACAAAAAAATCCAATTTAAGGCCACTTTTGAAATTCTCTGTCATCCGAAAATCGGCCTTAAAATGGGTTTTCACTGTATTTTATGAATAATATAATGATTACTATGAAAATAATCAATGAATTTATAAAATATATTTTTTTTAAATTATTAAAATTAGAAATTTTATTATCATAAAAAATAAGATTATTTTTTAGAATAGTTATTTGAATTTTATTAATTATAAAGAAATAATTGATATTTATTATATTTTATTCAATATTGAGGGGAGAGCCTTATTCATGTGAAACTCCTTATCAGAAAGCAGAGAAACCTCAGATCCTTGATAATCTTTCAGGATGCTCATAACAAGAGTTTTTCCTCAACTTTTGTTCTTTTCCATCATTTCATTCGTGATCTCAAGAGAAAGAAAAGGGGAAAGATGGAGGCAGGACGAAATTATGATGAGTTTATCGAGAACGCTCGATTCATCATTAACGGTTTGAATTTTTACAAGCACAAGAAATATTTTCTTTTTCAATTTTAGCGAGCAGAAGACTTTCCAAAGTGGAAAAAACTCTCCGAAATATTGACTCAGCCAACCGTGAAATCAACAAGGTACGCCTAGATCCAACAATAAAAGAAAATTATCAATAGGAGATCAACAAGAAGCAGAAGAAGTACTGGCATCTAATTGATCTCAAAAACGAAAAAGAAGATCATCGAGTCCGACCAGTTGATGTCGACGAAGATCTTTGGCAACGATTTCTTGCTTTTGAGGCGTTTGAGAGAGAAACGAAGCTTTCCAGCTTTATTGCTAAAAAAATTTGAAATGAAAATTTGAATAAAAAATTATCGGATAATTATTATCCTTCTCACATTGCCTTTTTTCGTGGCGAAAGAGTCGCTGCGTCACCGGTACCGGAGCACCGATCGGTCGACTGCCGGTTGAGAAATAAACACCACCCTTTTTTCTCTATTTCTCGAAAAAAAATGACAGGCGAAGTTCGTCAGAGAAAAAATGTGGAAAAGGTTGAGAAGAGCGATGAGAAAAAAGTCGAGGCTAAGTCGAGAAAACGGGTGATTCGAAGAGTTCTTCCCTGGTGGACAATGGCAGTTACGCCGTTTATCGCAATGTCGGTTGTGACCGGAATCGACTCGTTTTTGGATGGACAGATTTCCGGCTTGGAGGGGCAGGTGACTCGGGTGGAGCTGATGCTGAAAGGAATGAATGAAGTTTGGCCGGTTGAAAAAGCTGATAGGAAAGGGTTTTGCCTTCATTCAAAAAAGGGAGAATTTTGATTGGCTGGCAGCCGAAATTCAAGACTCCTATTGGTCAAAATTATTCTGTTTATTATTCGGTGGAAAAACTCTCGAAAAGATTCATCGCCGAGTTCAAAAAGCTCAACGAAACGCTGCAAGTCCAGAAAAAAGACCTGATGGAATACATCAAAGGCGAATTCACCGAAATCGGCGACCCAGGAGGAATCATTCTTCAGATGGACCAACTCCTCGAAGACTTGCGAACGATCAAGACCCAGGAAGACGAGCGCTTCAAAATCGTCAAGCAAGCGAAAGAAAAAATGGACGGAGCGCCAAGTCTGATCTCCCAACTCAAACAGCACGAAGAAGGGATGAGAAAATCGACGAAACAAATCAAAGAAATTTACGACGCGCATTCGAAGTTTTTTGACGAAAATGAGCTAGGACAAGGATACATTAATTTGACAGAACCGATCGAGGGTTTGCAAGGAAAAGTAAAAAGAGAAATTTTTCGAGAAATTTTCGAGATTTTTTTCGAATCATTTCTCTCGATTCTGAATCGACGATTCATTTGAGTAGAATTATGAATTAAAATATTTCTTTTTTACTCTATCGAAGATGAAATCACAAAAGTCTTGAACACCTGCCGAGAAATCGGAGCCCAAAGATTCATCGCAAATGAATACCTCACTTTTTACAAGGTACGAGTCGCCTAATTCTGAATTAGTAATTCATCGAGCTCAAATATTTTAGAAAAAAATGGATGAAGCATTCGACAAAATCAAGAGCGGAAAATTCAATTCCATTCCTGACCCAGTTGCTCAGACCGAAGATCTCAATCCTTATTTTGACCGATATGTCGAGGCGAAAAAGGAGTTTTTGAAATATCACAACTTTACCCAAGGTACCCGTTTTTCGTGAAACCTCAGCTCTAACCTCCGCTCCTAGACATGCGGGATCGAATCGAGCACATCGCAATCAACGAGAAGTTCACGAACAATGAGCGAATTCGACTTGCTGATACTTTTGGCACTCCTACAGAATACTTTGCTTTGGTGAAAAAATTGATGGAGTACCAGGAACTCAAGCCAATGTCCGAACTAATTGTCGAAGCAAAGGGCACTGAGAAAACGATAAGAGATATGTACAAGTAAGTCTTCTTTTACAATTTTCCCTTGGCTCAGAGTTGCAAATATTTTGAGCTAGCTGAGCAGTCTGAGCTGTAGCTCAGCTTAGCAATTTTTAGGTGAGGGTCAGCTCAGCTCAGCTTAGCTCAATCTCTCTTCGAAAAGAGCCAGCTAAGCTCAGCAAGCTCAATTTCGACCTAAGCTCAGCTCAGCTCAGTCTATTGAGCTGATCAAGATCGAACCATTTTTGCTCAGCTCAGCTAGCTCAGCTTGAAAAATTGTCAGCTTAGCTTAGCTACCTCAGCTCGAGAAATTGTCCTAAGCTCAGCTCAAAAATTTTCAGATAAGTTCCAGCTCAGCTCAATTTTTTTTGAAGAAAACGAGCTAAGCTCAGCTTAGCTCAGTGGTTTTTGAAAGAGGTCAGCTCAGCCCAGCTCAGCTCAATTTCGACCTCAGCTCAGCCGGCTCAGCTCAGAAAAAAATTTTCAAAAATTTGTAACTCTCCCTAAACTTAACAATTTCGTTTCAGAACCAACTGTGGTCAACATACAGAAGCGTTAATCCAATCCTACACCCGTCAAATCCACGAACTCGGGGCGAAAATCGACAAGGCTGTTAAAAAAGCAAACGAGTTCGACTTCAAAGCCAGCTTCGATGAAAAACTAGTCTTCGAAGTGAAACAGCGAGAAATCGGTCTTGAAAGATTCATAAACAAACTCAAGGCGCAAATTATCGTTGCTGAAACTGCAGCTGCGACAAAGTACTACAATTTTATCAAGAATCAAAAGGCGACGCTGACGAAAAAGAAATCAAAGCTGAAATTTGTCAATTAAAATTTTTTCATGAAAATAAAAAAAAACATTTATTGAAGCAAATCAAAGCAGGTCGCAGAATCCATGCTCGTTCATCCATTCCATAAACCAAACATGAGAAAAAGCAAGTGCAATTGTTATGATCATGAATCCAGCATTCAACGAGCAGAATTTTTTGAGGCCGTTTTTGTTCTCCTTTTTTTTGGTCCCGAATTCGCCCAAAAATAAATTCGTCAAGAAAAAATTATTGGACCATTTCCTTTTCTAGCTCTCTTTTTCGATGTTCTATCGCTTCTTGCTGATATTCTAGCGGTAGATTAGCAATTGCTGGGTCCACTTGAAGCTCAATTTCCGATGGACTGACTTTCTGATCCGGCCAGCAGCAAAGCCCGATCAGGCATTGAATGAAGGAAATAGTTCCAGAGACGAGAACGATCCAAGCAGTGATTCGACCAGCTTCAAGAAGAGTCAAAACGGTTTGCCACTCGTATGAGTCGTTGTACAATGCGGTGATAATAAAATTTGAATCTATCAAGAGCTTTGAATATTTTCAAAAAAAAGACAAAAAATCTGATAAAAAGAGAAAACTGTCCTAGAAAGAAAAGAATGGACGTTATAAACGCCAAGGAGTACCAAAGAACCCTTGCACCCCGATAGTCGATTTCCCAAATAAAAATACAAATGCTTGCAATAGCCAAGGTCATTGAAAGCCAAGGAAGAGACACTGCGAAACTCAGCGCGAAACACGAGCTTGGATCAATTGTCCACCAGGTCAAAATGCTCCAACCTCTTCTTGGGTCGTTCTCTGGATATCCGTAAAAATCGTTTTCTAACGGTATCATTATTTTATGTTTAAAAAATTAACGAAACGAATATTCAAGAGCTCGTTAGATACATGTGTCAATATTTATGATAGTTACTAAGGCAAATACCCCTCGCGCGACAGAAATGATTTTAAATTCCTACAAATATTACTAACAAGGATATCATATAAAAAAAAAACTATATTTGAAGATAACACTCTCTTCGTACTGGAAACTCTGCTTTTTTGGAAACCCCTAACCCTAAACCTAACCAAGGGGCTATGCCCCCCACCCCGGGACCACAACTTAGACCTAAACCAGGGTACTTCGCCCCCGCACCCCTCCCCTTTAGATTTCCCAGCCCCTAATCCTAACCCATGGAGAGTCAAGCCTGAAAAAAAAAATATGAGAACGAAGTGGTGCGTACTGGTTTGCATGAGTTTCCGAATCGAAAGTTATTCTTTCTTCTGGAATGTTCTTCCTTGCCTGCATGTTTGAACAAACTCCAAAAGTGAACTCGTCTGCAGAAAAGTTCACATGCTGAAAAAATACGATTTCAAGGTCGGAAAAAACCACTTGGAGTTCCAGACTTGCGACAAAATTGTTTTGTAAATATGTTTTGGCTTATAATCTCGCATAAGTCTGTATTGATCTGTTTCCTCGTTCAGCGGCTTCGTCCGACAGTAGACGAGTGCACACGAGTTCAGATGAATTCAGCCGTATATTATTTGCACAAGCCTTATGCCATAAGGCCATTTTATTACATCATTTTTGCATGAACTAGAGTTCATTCAAACAAGTTTACTTTCGCCTATTTTTCGGAGCTTAGAACCATCTTTGGAATTTTTATTTAAAAAATTTGGGAAAAAGGGGACAGAAAAATTAGACCGAAAGACAGATCAAACAAGTTAAGAAAGTTCAAACTCCGAAATAACTATGTCGAGGACAAAAACAGCGACGTCTGGTGGTGTCTAACAGCTATTATTCGCGATCAACGGCACAGAAAAAACAGCTTCATGCCAGATTTACCTGTCTGTCGGTCTATTTATATGCTTTAGAAATTCTCATCGAGAAATTACCCAAATCAATGTTAATTTCATGAATTCAATTCCCCCGAAAATGTGTTTTTTTTAACTTTGTAGATTCAAATTTTCGCTCGAGCATTGCTCAGATCCCACTCAAACCTCGCTCGTATCCCGCTCAAATCTCGCTCAGATCTAGTTCAAATGTCGCTCCCTCGATCGCTTGAACCTCGCCCAGTCGATGATCAAAAATTCTCGCTCAGCTACTCGCTCGCTCAGCCCTCGCTGAAATCCCGCTCGCTCAAATCCCGCTCGCTCAAATGCAGAATATTTTGGCCAAAATCGTAATCCTGCTTCTTATCTTTCTTAATCGATTGAGTTGCTTATAAATTGCCGTTTACTAAAAAATGCTTGTTGGTCTTTGACTCTCAGACAGTCTCCAAGGAAGTCATCTGATCTCCTGCAATTTGATTTCCCGACTTTGCCCGAGGAGATTGTATAACAAAATCATCAAAAATATCAAGACTAAAGACCCTGGGCCAGAGTTCATTTTGGTTCAATTTTTGTCCAGCTGTCCTCCGTGACCTTTTTATAGCTCGCGTTGATTGGAGGACAGTGAGTTTATCGAGCACTGTAGTTCGGTCGAAATAAGGCGAGATATTTCGTCGCCGATCCCGATTTTTGGCGATACAAAAAGAGACTTAACGAAAATGACGATTTCAATCAAAAGATAAAAGGTATGAAACATAAATAATTATTCATCGACTCGATTTTTATAAAACAAATTATCAATAAGAAATAATTTTCTATCATGGATGTTACATAACACAAATTGGCAATTGAGTTCGAAACTGTCTCAGAGACTGATGACTTTTTTCATGCTGACTTTGAAAAATATAGTCGCTAAATAAAATATACATTAAATAATTATTTTACAACTCGATATGAAATTTTACGTATCATTACGTGTCTTTAATGTTATTCGAATTCGAGTGAAGATAATCAAAAATATTTTAAAATAATCGTTTCCATAAACTTTATTGTGATTGCTGACTCTTTTTTGAGACGAAAATAAGAGATGATCGTCTTGCAAAAAAAACATCGAGAGAATAAAAATTATAGAGAAAATTGAATGCCGCATAATTTATCGTAAAAAGATCATAATTTTTTTCTTTTTGTTTATTCATGCCAAAGTCTACCACCTTCGCTGCTGACCTCAGTTGACTGAATTGACTTTTTGCGAGTGGCGCTCTCTGTCTCAATGTCAAACAAACTGCGCCGCTAAAAATATCCATAAAAGACAATTTTCGTACGATTTTTTTATCCTCTTCTTGTTTTAGAAAACTGAACGAAAAAAAACTTGCAAGAGAAGAAGAAACCAGTACTCACCGAAGATGAGTCAAATGAGGCTCTTTTTGAAGCTCCTCTTCGACATACAATGGAACAACAAAGGCAGTGCGATGATGTTTCTTTTGATTCCAGTGTTGATTGGGTTGATTCTTCAAGTTGGCAGATATTTCGGTAAGATTGTCGAACGGATAATGAGAATGGTAGTCTTCTCCGAATAAGAAGCCCTTACAACTAGATTTTCCCATATAAAAATATTTTTTTTAATTACGGCAAAATCGCTAATCTGTTCAATAGGACCTGACTTTGAGGGTCTTTGTGTCTATAAAAGTCAGACATTCTAAGTAGAGCCTCACATAATAACAGCCAGTTTCTCGATTTCGAGACGCTCAATAATAAATGGTGTTCAGCTTTACAAAAATGTGAATGAAATTTGTTTTCTTATCACGTGACTCGAGATATTCGAGGTCGAAAATGTGCGAAAATCGAGAATTTCGTAGAGATGAGTTGCTTCTGAGCCTTATTACTCAAAAATTTTATCACTCAAGCCAATTTCGAGGGAGATGTTCCTTGATCCAAGATGTTTCTATCTAAATATGAAGAGAAAAATTAAAAATCTAAGATTTTCTTGTCTGTAGCGCCGGTCAAAAATCGGTTATTTTCGAAAAAAGCTGTTTCTACCCCCTTAATTCATTCATCGCGATTTTGGAGAATGGAAAAAATTGATACTTTCCATTGAATACTGTGTTGTCTACGCTCTGCATAATCATGTTTATTTGTGAAAGGTTAACCTCTCCTGGCGAGTTCAAATTTTATCATGCAATGGAGAGCATGCGCAAATATTGTCCTTTCTGAGATAAAAAAACGCTCATACCAAGCGTCTACGGTCTCCTCACCACGACAATTTTATTGTTTACTTCTCATGACATCCAATTTTATTACATTCAATTTAAGTGCCTGTATCTCTCCAAGACGAACAATCCTTCGATTCATTCTCCGTCCAAAAACTCTACACAAAAAATTTCAAATCCTCGGACACCTTTGAAGTCTTCTACTCCCCCGTCAACGAGGAAACCAAGTTTCTCATGCAAAAAAGCTGCGACGAGCTTCGACAAAGCTTCGTCACGTACGACTGGTCTGGCAAGAAAAAATACAAGAAAGGATTTAACCCGCGAGGATTTGACGACGAAGCAGCTCTAGAGGTAAGTGTTGAAAGGATCAAAGAACCATAAATTTAAACGGGTCGGGCAAGTTTATGGCCAAGGTTGAGTGACAATGGGGTAACCCGTTCTTAGCTAATCTCGGTCTTTTATAGGCTGAGAAAAAGCAAAGGGTAATTGGGTACTTTTCTAAATTAAAGGCTTGTAATCTTTGAAGTATATAACAAAAGTGGGAACTTTTTGGGGAGGTGTCAGAAATCGACAAAAAAATCCCGACAAATTTTGAATTGAAATTTTCAACCAATCAGAAGCCTGGATTCGGCGAACTGGCCAATCAGCAGCCGAGTAGCCGCCCACGCAAAATTTGTCGAAATTTTTGTCGGTTTCTGTCACCATCCCGACTTTGGGGTCCATTTTCGATGAAGGATTAATTGTTGACAACATTTCATAATAAAATTATATTGACACCACGGTGACCTCAAAGAGAAGGTTTATGGTTCATTGCCATCTTGAGATTGACTTATCGTAATAAAACATTGATTTTAAATCAGTCAAGTACGGACTTTTGACCTTGTGTAACTTTGGCTGGGAAGATTATATAATGCAAATTTCGAAAATTATTCGGGTTCAAATGATATTTCATAACCTGAACTCAGATAAACTGATCTCTCAAATACTTTGCCCGCAAATATTCCCCGCCCATCTCGAGTCAGTGAATTTGTGAATTAATACAGCTTATGCAACCGGGATACCAGACATTTGCCAAATAAGCGTAGTTAATATTTTCTTCAGGAAGCAGCGGTAAATCAAACGAATCTCCTGGCCGGAGTTGTGTTCAAAAACGTCGATGTTGGAAGTGTCGACTTCAGCTATAAAATCAGACCGAGAGCGGAAGCAAGGACTGTCACCGGACTGGGAAGGTCAACACTTGGGTGGCTGACAGGTTTGTGAACTTTGTTGATTGAGCCTCTTCGCGAACTTACCAGTCCGTTACTTAACGAGTCCAAAATTACCCGTATTCTAATAACTGGCCACCCAGTTTTGAATTAGTTTATCGAAATAACAATATTTTTTCTCAGCGAATCTGATTCCCACCAGATCTCGATTATCACCAAATGGCGGTGTTTCGACACCCTTCAAGTCTCCTTACGGCGATGCTCCATACTACTATAAAGAAGGCTTTCTGACTCTTCAGCACTACCTCAACGAGCACTTTATCGACCTCGTCGCTGAAGCAAGAAATATCACGAATGATAATTTCAAATCACAGAACCACGTCTTGAACCGATTCCCCGAAGAAAAAGGCCTGAACGATCCTCTCGCTGGAATTCTAGAGCAGCATTTGAGCTTCATCATTCTTCTCGCCTTCTGCTATCTCGGCCAGCAAGTGGTCAAAAGAATCGCAAATGACAAGGAATCGAGACTGAAGGAGTACATGCTCATGATGAAGCTTGGACGAGATACTCTTTGGAGAAGTTACTTTCTTTTCTACGCGATTCTAGCGCTTCTTTCTTCATTCGCTTTTACGGTGACGATTTTTCTTCCGATTTCTGGAAACGCTGTCGTGACTTTTTCGAGCTTCTCGGTCATTTTTGTATTCTGCTTTCTTTACTGGTAAGTCGCAAAAATCTTCTAGGAAATCAAATTCAGTCGAATTCTAGCTGCTCCCTGATCACCCTTAGCTTCCTCACGACAGTCTTCTTCTCGACTGGGTCTGCCGCTTCAGCTGCTTCAACCACCATCGTCTTCTTTCTCTTCATCCCTTATTCCTTCATCGCCATGAACAAAGCCAAAGTCTTCACCCCCCTCGTTAAGCTTCTCAGTTTCTCCTCCCCTGTCGCTATGAGCGTTGGCTGCTCTATAATCGCGTCAAAAGAAGTCGATGGCGTTGGTGTCACGTGGGAAAATCTCGCCGATCCTGTCAGCTTGGTCGACAATGATTCGATGAAAAATGCATTCTTCATGCTCATTTTCGACACGATCTTGTACTACTTACTCGCTCGATATCTCGACATGGTCTATCCAGGAAAATACGGCATCGCAAAGCCATGGAATTATTTCTCAAAAATCAAGTCGAAGGCCTCCGAAATCTTAGCCAAACCAGAAGATCAGCCGAAATCATCTGGAATCGTCGTCGAAAACGTCGAAAAAACCTTCGCAATTAGCAACTTTGGCATTCGAAAAGCGCTCGACGATGTGAGTTTCAAATGTCCGCAAGATCAAGTGACAGTATTACTCGGTCCTAATGGTGCTGGCAAGAGCACCTTGATGAATATCATGTGCGGAACGATCAAATCCGACGCAGGAAGTGTCGAAATCGACGGTTTTTCGATGGAAAACGAACCCGAACAAGCGAGAAGATCACTTGGAATGTGTCCTCAGTTCGACATTGTCATCGAAGGCCTCACTCCTCTTCAGCACCTGCTCTTCTTTGCACAGCTTAAAGGATCTGGAAAAACAGATGCTGTTGAAGAATCAGAAAATCTTCTTGCAAAAATGAAGCTAGAATCGAAGACAAACACGGCCGTGGAAGACCTATCAGGAGGAATGAGAAGAAAGCTAAGCCTCGCCATCGCTCTGTGTGGCGGGAGCAAGGCGATTGTGCTTGATGAACCAAGCTCTGGGCTCGATGTCGTTTCTCGATCGGAAATTTGGGACATAATTTCTTCTTACTCATCCGGCAAGACAATTCTTCTATCGACTCATTACACCGACGAAGCGGAAGCCTTAGCGGATAACATTGTCGTCATGGCCCAGGGAAAAGTCCTCCGAGCCGAGTCGGTCAGTCAATTGAAGTGCTCAACGAGATCTGGTTTCCTCCTTTCAATTTCGCTTCTCAACCCGATTTCTGCCGATGTTTTTGCAAACTGGCTCAAGGAAATTCATACAGAATCGAAAATCATGGAGCAATCTGGAACCCAGTTATCTGTGCTCCTCCCAAGGACCCTCAACCCAACAGTTTTCTTCTCCGAATTGGAGACAAGGAAGACTGACTTAGGAGTATCCAGCTTTGCCATTAATGATGAAGGGCTAGAACAGACCTTTATCAAGATTTTGAACGAAAATGCTCACGAAAACTTCTTTCTCAAAAAATCGAAGAAAATGGCCGAAAATGAAGAGACAACAAAACTCATCGTTGATCCCTTTCTGAAGCCGTCTCTTAGTGGCGTTTCACTTTGGTGGGGTCAAATCGTCGGCTGCCTGATGAAGAACTTCTTTCACTGGAAGAAAAACTGGAAGATTTTCCTTTGCGAATTGCTCGTTCCCGCCCTGATGACGTTCATCTCGATCCGGCAAATTGTTTCGGCTCCTGAAGGTCGATACTCGCCCGAAGTAAGATTTGATATTGGCGAGTACTCGAGACGGGGGATTGCCCAAGTTTCCAGCTTTTCTTGGAATTCGATCAAAAAAGAGACGGAGGAGCATATTCTGGCTTTGAATCCGAAGACACTTGCCTTTGGATTGAGCACTTTTGACGGCTCGAAAAGAGAGGTAATCGGCTGGTTCAACCCGCAAATGTACCACTCTGCTCCTGCAGCGCTAGAACAAGTCTCAAACTTTCTCATCAGCGAAATGCTCAACGAGACTCGATCTGATTTCATCCAAGCGAGCAATCACCCCCTCCCCATGGCCGAAACCCTCCTCTCCGAACACGCGAAAAACGACTTCAATCTCCAAGCAATGACGCTCGTCTACAACTTGATTATCGGAGTCATGGTCATGTTTTCTGCCTTTTCCTTGCTGCCAGTGAGAGAAAAGAAATGCGGAATGAATGTTTTACAGACGTGTGCAGGAGTTTCTCAGAAGATTCGATGGACCGCGCAGTATTTTTGGGATCTTACGACTTGTATTCCTTCGATCTCTCTTGTCCTCGTGATTTTGTTGGCCTGCAGAGGGATGGATGTCATCCAAGCTTTTGTCGACCACATGGGTAAGTCTCAATCAGGTCGAGAATCTTCCTTGATTCCGATTTCAGATGTCCTCATTGCGATTTTCGGCCTTTTCTCCTTCGCCCAGCTTCCAATGGTCTACCTCTCTTCCTTCCACGTCAAAGATCCTGCTTCCTCAATCTGCTTCAATGTCAACCTTTCCGTCGTCTTCACCATGTGCACCTTCCTCAGCGTCACTTTGGTCCGCCAATTCGACACATTCGAAAAAGCAGAAATGATCAACAGCTGGTTCTTGTGGTTTCCCCGCATTGCTTTGCCATGTCGATTTTTGACCTGTATTTCAACGCGCAAATGGGCAAGACTTGCGAAAACAAGGGCTTCCAAAAGCTCTGCGATTACGGAATCCTCCCTTATGTAAAGAACCCCTATTCGTTCGAAAACGGCGGCGTGGGAAAATATCTGGTCGCTTTTGGCTGCCAAATTGCTTGCTTCTGGACAGTGCTGATGATTTTACAGATTTTTGATGAGATCGATGTTCGAACTTTCTTGAAAAGAGGGTTGGCCAAGCTGTTTCGACGAAATCAACGAAGAGAACTAGAAAATGGAAAGTTGAATAACTGTCGCGCGAAATTGGTTGTTGATGATTTGCACAAGAATTATGGGAAATTCAAGGCTCTCAAAGGTAAGAAAAGGGAGAAAAAATGATGGGAAAAAATTTTCAGGAATCAATTTCGACGTCCAGCCCGGCGAATGCGTCGGTCTTCTAGGAGCCAATGGTGCAGGAAAATCAACAACCTTCAAGATTCTCACTGGCCAAATCCAACCGAATATCGGCAGCGCCCATGTTGATGGATTCGACGTTTCAACGCAAAAATCTCGTGCTTTGGAAAAACTCGGCTACTGTCCCCAATACGACGCGATTTTGAAGCAACTCTCGCCAAATGAAGTTTTGAGAATTTTCGCGAGATTAAGGGGCGTCGAGGCGAAATTGATCGATGCTCTTGTAAGATCACTAATTGGTAAGAAATCGAACTAAGAAATTTTCTCAACAAAAATTCTAGAGCTGCTTGAAATCAGCGACTACAGCGACCAATCCCTGTCCGAGCTCTCCGGTGGAACAAGAAGAAAAGTTTCCGTGGCATTGACGATTATTGGCGATTCGCAGACGATAATTTTAGACGAACCAAGCTGCGGATTAGATCCTAAGTCGAGAAAAGAGCTAAGAAACGTGATCAAAACATTGCTTGAGAAGGGAAAATCCGTGCTTTTGTCAAGTCATAGTATGGAAGAATGCGCTGCTCTTTGTGAAAGGTACCGTTGTCAAAGGCGACAGGATATTGATGAAATTAAGGATGTGTATCCTGAATAAAGGAAGCCTAGCGTACTTCGGAAAACAACAAAACTTGAAAGATCATTTTTCTCGACATCTTCACGTCGTCGTTGAAATCCACGAAGAATCAAGGAGCAAAGTCTTGGCTGGACTCAAAGAAATCGATGAAAACATGACCTACTCCACAGCTGGAAGCAATATGATCAGGTTCAACTCCCCTTGTGGTCCTTTTTTTCTTATCAATTTTTTTCTAGAGCGCTTATCGACAAAAATGTCCCACTGAGTCAACTATTCGGCTTCCTTGAATCCGCCCAGACCGAGAAACTACTCACTAGCTATACCGTCCGAGAAACCGCATTGGAAGACATCTTCCACGAAATTGAAAACTCTGAAAGTGCCATAACAGAAGCTGTTTGAAGAAAAAAATCTGCTTGAAAAGCGGAAATTTTAACAACAGCTTCTTCTATTTTGTCTGTTTATTTGTGCTTAGAATATCAAATATTTTTATTATGCTGCCAGAAAGTAGATTTTCTACTGTTGTCTTTACTGTATAGAAGGTTAAATACAGATAGATTGAGATTGAGCTTTCTTTATTTACAGTAAATAAGAGTTTATGACAGTAAACGACTTGAATTCACCGACAATCGTTGATTTCAAATTCTAGCCAATCAGGAGCCTGAAGGGATCCGATGAGCGTTGGTAGCTTAAAACACTCTGATTGGCTTGGAACACGTTTTTTTTCTGATTGGTAAGAATTTTAAATCAAAATTGATCAGTAATTTTTTGTCGTTTTCTGTCAAAAAATTTGTGATTCTTGAATTTTTTTTTCGAGAAATTTGGCGCTGAAATCTAAAAAATCAAGTCGTATGTAAAATAAACCCCACCTTATTTATTCTTCGCCGCCATTTTCACATCCCTCGTGAGTTTTTTCATCCGATCAAATCTCTAAATAACATTTTAGAAACAAAATTTGCAGCGGTAATGAACGAACCCTTGTCCAATTTTTGTGGTTTTTGCAGCTCGAGGACATAGACCAGCTGGCGATTGAATAAAGTGGCTTTGTTCGAATTTTCAACTTTGCAAATTCGATAAAATTAAAAAGTTAAAAATTGCGTAAAATTGAATAAATCCGGTCCTGGAAGAGTTCTCCTACATTTTTCATCCGCGTTACTTGGATTTGAAGCTCTTCTATGTTTTCAGAAGAAAGTGGCTGGACACATTTTCGTTTTTCAGGCAGCTTTTTGAGGCTGTCAATGTATCTGACGACGATTCTCTGAATAAAACTGATTAAAGAAATCATTTTTTGCGTTTTGTTAGAAAGTCATTTTCAAAATCTTGATTAATTTTAATCATTATTGATTGACTCGAATAAAACATCTTTGATGATGGACCGCTCCCAAAATGCAAGATTTTGAATGTCCAATTTTCCGCCTTTTTGGAGAAATCACATTGACTTTCTAGCGGTCGTGTTTCCATTGATACGCTGCCAAAATGGCTGGAGCGAATGCCCCGCCCTTTCAAATTTCGATTTCATCTTCAATCAGACACAGCATAATTAAATATTCCTTCAATTGTTGGTACCCACTGAGACAATAGCCCGAACCCAAAACGCGGGTACCTGAATTCTGATTGCTCGGGAAAGCTTTTCTGGAGCGATTTCGGGGAGTTGTTGCAGAACAGGATTGATGGTCGAGTCGTAATTTTGACGAACTGAAAAAAATTTTTTTCAAATTTTTTATAAAAATATCTTTTTTTTGTCAAATATAATAAAATGACGTTGAATTTTTTTATTTTTTATTTCTCAAAAATCATACTTTTTTTACCTTGATCAAGAATATCAATATACTCGGAGCTGACTTTTTTCTCTCCTTGCAATTTCGCGATAAGTCCAAAAATCGTGAAAATCTTCATCTCTGCTCAGGTCCCTCGAAGTCTCTAGAAATAAACCGCGACCCGTTGTAAAGCCGGACATTCCTCGCGCACCCTCTAGCGCCACCTGAAATTTCGCGACAACGAAGGAGCTGCCCGGAACTGGTCAGAATGCGGTCGTTTTCGACAGTTTTTGGTTTCAAAATCAAATTTTCTGGCGTGGTCGACCCCTCAAGACCCTAGGTGGAACCTTTGCGGCAAGAAAAACGACAGCTACGGTAGAATCAAGAAATTGAAGAGTGGATCGGACTCGTGGATTTTCCCGATTTCGAGAAATCTTCAAAAGAAAGGCTTGTTTCCGCCCGGGCTCGAACCGGGGACCTTTCGCGTGTTAGGCGAACGTGATAACCACTACACTACGGAAACTTGAAAGAAACTACTCCCATCGTCAGCCCAGTTCGACAAATGTTCTGAAAGACCATTCAGTTGAATAATAATTTATTGAATCAAGAAAGAAGCTGGTCTTTTTACAAGAAAAGAAGAGAGAACGCGAGTCCAGTGGCGGCGACAATGCCCATTGCATCAGAAGTCGTTGTATCTGGAGAAGTAGTGGTTGATTCTGGAGTTCCGTCAGTGTTCCACGACTCGTCCCAGTCTTCTTCAGTCGAGCAGGGTTCTGCTGGCTCACCACAGCTTTCAGCAGAATCGCTTGAAAAAAATTTAAATTTCTTCATCCCTAGATGTTTGTTACTTGTATTCGCAGGGTACCCAAGTGTTGGGCTTGCTGGCATCCCAAGTTTCATCCCATCCAAGCTCGTATCCTTTATCCGCTCTGTATTTGCTCAACCAGGTAGTGACTGGTTCAAAGTATTTTTTGATGGCTTTGGCATTCATTGATCCCTCGCATCCAGAATCGTTTCCGCAAAGGAATTCGTTGAGAGTGTCTTCCCATGGTTGAGATTGGCCAGCTTTGAGGAGTTCTTTCATGAGTTTTCCTGCTTTCTTTGAGTTGTAGAAATCGCATTTGTAGAGTGGTTTCTAGGTCATTTATAGGGTGAAAACGCGGGTGAATAAGTTTTTACCTCAGGGTCGTTTTCATCGAACTCGCCAGCTTCAAGGCACATTTTTTCATAAAACTGGAACTGAAGAATGAAGGAAACATAGTATCGGATGTAAGGCGTGTTGTTTGGAATATGGTACTTTCCGGCGGCATCGAAGTGCTCTTCAGTTCGCTCGAGAGGAGGAATCATTCCCTGGTACTTCAAGCGGAGGTCGTCCCAGATTTTCTGATATTCTTCTTTCGCAGGTTCTTTGGCGAAGAGCTCCCAGCGGAACTTGTCCATGAGGTAGCCGAATGGGAGGAAGGTGACTTTGTCGAGAAGAATCGACATGAGGTAGTTCATGTCTTCATCTGAAGTGTCCCGAGCGATTTCTTGGCGAAGGAAGTCTTCAAAGAAAATAAGAAAGGGGAATAAAAGGGCACCTACTGATGGAAGCGTTAGGATCATCAAGAAGTCCAACTTCGATCAAGTGCTTTGGAGTCGAGACGGAAAGCGCAAGCGTATCTCCAATGGCTTCATGGAATCCTGGATTTGCTCCGGATCGGAAGATGATAGGATGATGAGCGTATTGCTGGTAGTACTGAATATGACCCATCTCGTGATGAACAGTGACAAAGTCATCTTGGTCCTTGACCGTGCATTGTTTGATTCGATAGTCGCCCATAGCGCCATCGTCGAAGTTGCCATCGCCGGCCATGAAGTCCCAGGCGGAGGCGTGGCAGACCATGTCCACACCTGGTTTTTTCTTGATGACGGAGTTTCGCCAGAAAAGCTTGGTCATCGGAGTCAGTCCCAAAGATCTTAAATTTTCTAGAAAAAGACTCTTCAAAAATTAAAAATACCTGAAAAATTCATCGGCGTAGTCAAACATCTCTTCTTCCGTCAATTTTTCAATCGCTGGAGTGGCATCTGGTCGCTCTCCTGCATCCGGATAAGGAACAGTAACATCGTAGAGTGATCCCCAAGTCTGCGCCCACATGTTTCCGAAAAGATGCTCTGGAACTGGGGTCTTTCCAGATCCAACCATTTTGTCACCATATCGTTCGTTGAGCTTGTATCGAGCGTAAGCATGGATCTCTTCGTAGAGTGGCTTGAGATCGTCAGTCCAGATTTTCTCCAGAAGATCCATGAAGCCTTGATCATCATTGACACCTGTGTACTTGCTTCGCCAGCTTTCACCGGTATCAGCAAAACCGTTTGCTGCAGCAGCAAGGTTGCTATTTTCGACGAAAGTGTGATAGTCTTCATGGCATGCCTGGCCAACTTTGGTATTCCACGCGTCCCAGTAGTATCGCTGCTTGAGGTAGTCACAGTGTGCATTATCGCCGACGCATGCTGATTTAAAAATGGCCGTCAGGTCAGGGTCCAGTGGGTGTTGACGGTCGGAATGTTGATCTTTGACCTTTGTTGTGGAATAAGCAACGCTCATTCGACCAAGAGCAGCGGTGAGCTCACTGTACTCAGGAGAACCAGCTCCTAGGGCAGCGTAGCCCAAGTCTTGGAGCATGTCAAGAGCGCGAAGTTGCTTTTCTTTGGTCCAGCATTGCAGTTGATAATCTTCATTGGGGTCTTCCGCGCATCCAGCTTCATCCTTCAAATCGCAGCCTGATTGGTTAAAGCCTTTCTTACAAGCATTCACAATGGAAGAAAAGTTTTCTTGAGCGCAAAAGCCGATTTCTTCCATCCAAGCAGTTGTTTTTTGAGCAGCTTCGGCCTCGATCTTTTGGTTCTCTTCGTTGATATCAGTTGCCTTAAACTTTGGTTGAAAATTTTCAACGATCGAAATTGTTTTGAAAATTGATGAAAAAAAGTTTGACTCACGTAAGCCCATGAAGCCTCGCTCTCAATGTTGAAGAAGCTCTGAGCATCTTCATTCCAGGTCTTCAAGAATTCAATCGGATCAGTCAAAGAGGCATACTGTCCGGTGCATCTTGTATCAGCTTTAGTAGATCGACTGGATCGAGCAGTTGTGCCAGGGTTCCCGTACTTAAGGCTCTCCCATCGCTCGGAAGGATTCAAAGCGCTAGAAGAAGCGATAACCAGCGATGCCGAGAGCTTCATGTCAGGCTAGAATTTCTCTCTATCTGATTTTATGAGCAACAAAAAAAAAGAGGGCAAGTACTTTGAAAGTAAAAATTTAACCAGACGGAGCTTTTTTGTGTACTTTTTCGAGCTATCTATTCCGTTTTCTCTTTTTCTCTTTGTATTGACTCAGATCTTATGATAATCATCTTCAAATTTGACTAGCTAAAGCCCGAGCTTTTCATTTTTGAAAGTTTTATAAAGCCTTTTTTTCTCTCAAATTTATTCATTCAAACAAAATAACTGTCGACTGGTTCCATCTCGTGCTCATTTTGCGCCATAACGCAGCATCTAAAAATCATAAATTTCCATAAAAATGCCCTGGAGGAATTCAATGACCTGCAAAAACAGGATGCGCAACAGTCTCCAAGGATATTGCCCCTGATGTGCTTCACCTTTCTGATTTTCATTCTTTGGATAGCGGATGGAATCGTTAAAAGCTCAATTAAAAGTCACGGTTGATGAATAAAAAGATTTTTTTTTACGGGCGGAAATAAGCAAAATAAAAAACTGACGAGGCACCAAAGCCAGGGTCGTTTGTAGTCAAGTTCCTCGGCAACTTTTCTGTGTGAAAAGCAAGGGCAAATAAGGACCTTACAGCCGATTGTTGCATCTACGCACCACATGCACAAGCCTGATTTGAACTCATCAGTTGGAATTCCAACTTTTTTATTGCTTTTCAACTTGCTTCTCTTTCTTCACAGATAAATTGCTCTTGAAAACCTTTCCTGAATACCGCCTAGGCTGCAAGTCCAAAACATATTCATGAAATTTCTCTTTGACATTCATTTTTTCGACCAGAAATGAAATGATGATCATAACTATTTTTTGCTATTCACAAAAGTTTGCTCAGGAGATATAACATTATTTAATAATGCCAAGGCCGATGGTTCTGATTTTTTCTGAGACAAGAATGATGCATGCAATTTTATTTACAGGAAGAATTTCAAATAAATACAGTGATCTTGATCAGTATTATTTTCGCATTGTGACATCTGGTTTGGGAGGTTCAAGTTGAATAATATAGATGCCCTCGATGGTAGAAAGAGCCATTGGATCAGAAGAATCGGCGACGACTATTTTGTGTCTTCTTTGAGCTACACAGAAGACTATTTCTTTCAAAAAATGATCGAAACAAAACAACTATCAGTTAAGCGCTCGGGCCTGATAACTGTTGTTTCTTTTGCGATACTTCTTCTTTTTCGACCACTTGTCAAACTTGCGAACAATGAGTCATTTCCAACAGATGGACAGGACGAAATTCCGTTGCAGAATGTATTATCGTACACATCGCAGACGAGTTGAGAGAACTGAAAATGGAATGATAAATAAAAAATGTTTCTTACTTCGAAATGGATTTCTCGCGAAGTTGTGAATCTGAAAACTTTCCATTTGAAAGTCCGAGCATTCGTTGAGACCAAATCGGTACTGAACTGAGCGCAACCATCAGAAACTAAAGAAAACAATAAGATAAAGAGGAGACAAGAACGCTTACCAAGAGAAATCTCATGAGAAGAATCTGCAGACGCCTTGATTTTGATGGAATCGATCCTCATTCCAAATCCATTTTCAAGCTTGCTGAAATCAATGACAATTTCGCTACCAACTTGAATTTTTGAAAGGGTGTTCGTGCTACAGCTCTGAGTTGATGTGTAATCGCAGAAATTTGGGGAGCCGAGATTTGTTGGAACGACGATGGATGTTGAGTTGACTTGTTTGATGTCATCAATGCTCTAGAATTTTCATGGAATCGACGAAATGATGAAAGATTTTGATAACCATTGAAAGTGCGCTGGAGTAACCAGAGTCGATCGAGCAGGTGAATTCGAAAGGCGTGTCATCCTTGACATCTGTTCCCTGAAAGAAAATAGACAGTTTATCGAAAAAAAATATGGTTACGTTGAGGGATTCCTGGACGTTGAATTTCAGCGTAAAGTCAATTTTCGATTGATCACTTGGTGTTGCGCTTGTTACTCCACACTCGTCAAAATTAACTAAAAAAGAGGCGATTTCATTTTGATTTTTTTCTTCTTTTACCAGTTTTTGAGGAAATCGAATCGCTTTGAGAGCAAATGCCTGTGAAGATTATTTTCTTCGAAAATTCTACTCGATCAAAGAAATAATCGAAATGTTCTTGATGAAGCGTTAGGGCGAAGTTCATTCCGGAACAGTCCAGTGAAAAGATATCGCTGAAATATAAAATGCTTTGATGAAATTTATACAGTTCTTCAGTACTTTTTTGTACGGAGATTCGCGTTTATAGTTATATTAAAACCGGAATGGCCGGTGTCATAAAAATTCGCGGAGAAACGAATGTAACCAGTTGATCCATTAAAGACAGACGTGAAATTCGCAAGATCAGAACGCGTTGTCCATAAGCCACCCCCATTTCCAAATTCGAGATCGCCGCTTCCATAATAGTTTGAATACCAAATGATTGGTGCATTATAATTGGTGTAGTCATAAAAGTCAAAAAAGTTGCTCGAAACATCATCAAGATTGGAGTCGAAGAAATGATAAGTTTTATTTTCCATGATGATATTAAGAGTGTCTTTCAAAAGATGAATAAAATGTTTAATGAATATTAAAAACATTATATTTTTCACAAAACAAAGTCAGGTCTTGAATTGCTATTAAAACAAGAATATACTCATCCATTCCGTAATCAGTCTCAACATTAAATTCGTTTTTCTCGAGAGAATATGAAATCGCATCGGGGACATTCAATTTCCATTTGCACTCATCGTACTCATCATAAGAGCCAGGATAATTGTCAGTTGTTATTATCGAACCAGAGGAAGATATTTCATAGCCACAAAGACTTGAAAATTATTAATGATTTTTGACAATTTTCTCGGTAAAACCTTTCCGGAACATTTGAATAATCAAACGGATAAATATCAATTTCAAATCTTGAAGTCGAGTTTTCATCAAGAACCCAGTACTCAATCGTCAATTCTGGCCCCCAAAAGCTGAAGAAAAATTGGAAAAGAAAACGCACGAATCTGAGACCTCGTGGTTGATTCAAATTTCTTGTATTGATTGGGAGTAGCAACGAGGCCGGGGTCGATCATAAAATGATAGTTGATGTCATCTTTCAATCGAAATCGCGCGACATTATTTACTGTTGTATTTTTCGGGACGATTGTGTATCCTTCTGCATTTGGTATGGCGATGACCTGCATTTCAAATTTTGAAAATTTTAATCGAGAATTATTTTTGATACCCAAGTGCAATTTGTCGAAGTAGGAGCATAATTCGGCCACTCGGGAGAGGTCAAAATCCCAGCAGTCGTAACTGTCCCCCCGCATTCAACTACTTCTCCGGAGCCTTCTTGAGCAGAAACTGCATAAAAAAGAGAAGAAATAAATAAATTAACGAGTTGAGTCATCTCTTGGTTTCTCTCATCTGAGATTTCGTAAATTTGGCTACTCTGAGCTGATCATAAAAACACATACTAAAAGTACGAAAAAATGAAGTGTAATTAAAAGTCGTCATAATCTTCTTAACAATCGTCTAAAGAAAGTGCTTCTTGGAATTTTAAGAGCTATAGAAGCAATACAGGACTCAAAAAACTGCCAATTTTACATTAATTTGATCACCTGCTCACAAATTTTGCCTGATGCGGAATACTTTTGATAAATTAATTCGCATTTCTTTTTTATGATGATATTTTTGAACTTTATTGCACTACTACCACAATGGTCGATAGGTAAATCTTTGAAGAATGATACAGAAAAGGGGTTTATACAGAAAACATTCATTTTTTAGCTATTTTTTACATCATTGAACAAGTCACATAATCGTCTGGATTTTCCTCCGCCGCTGTTTCTTTAGCATCGATTTTTGGCGAAGGGAGAAGATTGGCATTTTCGTTGATTTCAGAAGAAAGCGTGGAGTTTGGGTGTTCAGAAGGTTCTTTAGAGCGACGAGAACGGCGGGATTTCCGGCGATATTTAAGCTTTTTGATCTCTTCTTGATGAGAAGACTTCAGGGCGCTGATTTCGTCGATTTTTTGCTTCAGCATTTCCTGAATATAGAGATTATACTCAAGTTACAAACTTGCGCTTATTCTGAAAGTAAATTGATAAAGAAAATCACCTTCAATTCATCATCGCCGTCATATGTTCCCAGCGCCCTCTTCTCCGCCTTCTTCAGATCTTTCTTCAACTTCCTTTCCGACTTTTGAAGCTGCGCCACCATCACCAAATTCGCCGAATACTCTTCCGCGCGCTCAGCGAACTTCTTAAATTTTGTCGACATTTCGTCGTCTTTGTTTTTCAGCGTCGACTTCATATTGCTGATGTCGTCTACAAGGCGGGAAATGAGCTCTTCTCGCTGGCGCAGCTCGTGGCGAAGAACGCTTAGCTGAGCGCTAGAGCTTGGTTGGTTCGTTTCGGAATCTTGGACGAAGCTGGAAGTGTAGGTAGATTCTGGCGCCATTTCTGGGGGCTCGATCGTTTTGCCAGCCTTGATTTGTTATCTAATGGAATCTTTTAAGTTATGGCTTACCTTGATTTGAACTCTTGGAGAAATTCTCCTGTTGAGTTTATATTTCTGCTCCAAAATCCTGTTCTTCTCCCTGAGCACCGCCAATTCATTCTTCATCGCCTTCACCATCGCTGGATCACCATCTTCGTCGACAATTTTCGACGTATCAACTTCTGGTTCTTCTTTTTTGATCATGAGCTCGTTGTACTTTTCCTCGAGCTTTTCCCGCTCTCGCTTGCTTTCTGCCAATTCGCTTGAGAGTTGTTCTCGCTCGAGAGTGAGAGTTCGATTGCTAGAATTGAGCTTGTTTAGCTCTCGTTCAAGCTCGTCGTGGTTTGAGCGAATGGAAGTGAGTTCCGAAGCAGCTGAGTTTTTCTCGAGTTCGACCATGTTCAATCGTTCCTAGAAAATAGTTGAATTGGGATCAGAATTCTTGAGTTTTCTTTCTTACCTGCATCTTTGTCATCTGATCCTTCAATTGTGAGCTCGATGCCATTTGCGCATCCTCTCTGCTAGCAGATTCAGTGCTTTGACGATCAAGTTGTTCTCGAACTCGTGATAGATTAGCATTCAATCGCTCAATCTCACTCTGAGCGGATGAAAGCTCAGATTGAGCTGCTGAAAGTTGAGCTCTATAGTTTTTGTTTTCATTCACAAGTTCGGTCTGGATTTTGTCGAGTTCAGAAGCGGAAGCGCGGCGAGATTCGAGAATTGAGCTGCGAAGTTCGTCGAGTTGAGAACGAGCTTCGGAAAGTTCTCTTTCGCTGCGCTCGAGTTTCGTCTTTGTTTCGCTCAATTCGGCCGAGTTTGAGCTGTTTGAAGCTTCTCGCTCGCGGAGGGATCGCTCGAGCTCAACCATTGCTTCTTGATATCGCTCGAGTTTTGAGCGGAACTCGGCACTTTTTTCGGCAAGCTCGGATTCGAGCACGGATTTTTGAGCGGCGGAGGCAGAGAGTTGAGTGGAGACTTCTTCAAGTTGGGAGGTGAGGGACTCGATTTGAGTGGAGTTTGATGATTTGTAAGAGGCGATTTCTGAGCGGAGTTTTTCGACAATTTCCTGAAAGAAATTTTAAGCTTTGGAGAATAAGTATTGGAAAGTTACCTCAGAAGAAGTTCTGGTTGATTCCAATTCCCGCTCCGCTCTTTCGAGCGATGCCTTGAGCTGTTCAGGTTTCAGTTGCTGCAGATTTTCGATTTCTAACTGTAGTTCTTTGACTTTCAGAGCGTTGGTCTCTTGAGCCTTGTCCAAGTCGGTCTGCGCCGATTTTCGGAGCCTGGCGAGCTCGTCCTCGACGCTTACTTTGCTCGACTTTTCGTTCTAGTCATTTCATGAGTTAGATTCTTTGGGCGGGGGTAGCGAGCCCCGTCCTTTTTTGAATGGGAGAAAATGGAAATTTATGAATCACCGGAATTAAGGATTATAAAAGAGAAGGGCTTCTGATCCGATTCTCATTGTTATAATTGATTGTATAACATGAAAGAACTCACCAATGATCACCGCTTCTTACCTGCAGCAACTTATTCGTATGATCAAATTCGCGCTGGAGAGCTTCCGCCCTATAAACCAGCGCTTCCCGTTCTTTGAGATCGAACTGGCGCTCCTTCTCGGCCATATCGAGTGCCTGGCGCAACTCACCGTATTTAACTAAAAATGACCGGAGATAGATCACTGTCCAAATAAGATGTCTTTTCTCACGTTTCAGCTTTTCGACTTCGGATTCTTTTTGCTCGGCTAGGCCGGATGCGTCGCGCAGACGGTTCATCATTCCGGAGAGCTCTTGTTGGAGCGCGAGCTAAAATAAGGAGTCAATGAATCCATTATCAATTGTCTTTCGCACCTTATCAGCATGAACTTGATTCAACTCCTTGCTCTTATTCTTCCACATATCCCGGTCAATTCCAATCTGGTCGATATCTTCTTCCAAAGTCTGAATCTTCTGATTCAACTCTACGATTTTCTTCTCCAAACTAGTTTTGTCGCCAAATTGATCTTCAAACTTCGTCTTCCAGCTTTGAATTTCATTCTTGTATTTTTCTACCAGTCCTTTTTGCTCAACAAGTTGATCACGGACGGAACTGATTTGTTGTCTCTCTCCTTGAAGCTAGAAAAAAAAGATAAAAAAATTAAAAAGAGCATCAAATGTACCTTAAAAAGAGCAGCTTCAGAGCTTTGCTGAAGCAATTCTGTCTGTTGCCTCGTGTTCGACATTTCATTTTCGAACTGCTGTCGCTCCTTCTCCAGCTTCATTTCGCCTTCCCGAAGTTGAGCGTGAAAGTTGCGCTCAAGCTCGTCTTTTTCTTGGATCGAATCGTCAAGCGCTTTTCCTGCATTGATCAAGCTTTCTTGAAGCTCCTTTGTTCGGGCATGAAGGACGGCAACTTCTTCTTGTAGGGATTGTTTTTCTTGGCCAAGGGATGAGGATAGATCTGTAGCATGTTTGAGCTCTTCTTCGAAGAGATTCTTGGCGTTTTGAGCTTCTTTTAATTCCGCATTCGCGACTTTAAATCGGTTGGAAAATGTTAGTTAGTTTTAGTTACCTAAAAGCTCGGCTTCAGCTTTTTCGGCAGCTTTCTTCAGATCGTAATTCAAAGCCTGCAATTCCTCCGTCATATTCGCCTTGGTTCTTAATTCATCAGCTTCTTCCTGAATCGCTAGCAGCTGTTCCGTGCCAGTGTCTGCTCGATTTTCAAGATTTGAAAGAAGCTCGGATTTTTCAGCGAGTGCTGTTTCCAAGGACATTTTTTGGTCTTCCAGCTTTTTAACCATCTCTGTCAGGTCTTTTTGGCAAGTGTCTTTTCATAAGTCAAAAATATATCATCAATTATACGGTATAATTTATACCTGTATTGAACTCCAATACTGGCTTGAGCCAGGTTTCTTTGAGGAGCAGGACTCAGATTCTACACATGTTTCAGAGACCAGAGGGTTCATATCAAAAAATAACACATTTTGACTCATTCCTAGCGTATCGTTCTCCGACTGTAAGCCGTTAACTTCCCCTTGAATCCTTACATTATCAGCTTCTTGTTGCTCCAGTGCTCTTTGGATGGTTTGAACATCAATTTCTCTTTCTGTCAGTTGTTGTTTCATCGCTTTCAGTTGATCCAGCAAGCTGTCATTTGATCTTGAAGCATTTGCGCTAGAATCGGCGTTCGCTTTTGTCAAATTTTCGATGTTTTTGTTGAGAATTTCGATCTTGTCCAGATGTTCTTGTTCGATCTTTTCTTTCTGACCGAGGATTTCGCGTTTTTCATCAAGATCTTTTCTCAAATCTTCGTTTTGAGCTTTGAGAATCTTTTCGGAAGCAATCAGTTCTTTGCGGCTCAAGAGGGCGGCTTTCAATTTTCTCGTGTAAGTTTCCTTGTCGCTCTGCATTTTCGTCAATTTTGCTTTCAATTCGTCATTTTCAAGATCCGCCAGGTTCGATTTTTCTGACGCGATCGACATGCTCGCTATGGACTGCGTTTCTGTGCGGTTGTCTTTCTGGCTCTCAAGAAGGGCGATTTGTTCTTGAAGCTTTTTATTGGCTTCGGTGAGGGTTACGACCTCGTTCTCAAGCTCTTTGCTTTTTCCGACCAGCTTGAGTTGGGCCAGTTGCTCTTCGGTGACAACGGAGTTGCGGCGGATTTCGTCGCGTTGGAGGGAGACTGCTTCGTTCATAAGGCTGAAAATAAAAGACGGTTAAAAGCTGCCTTACTCAGAAAAAGACTAACCTTAGGTCATTTTCAAGCGCTTGAATCTTCGCTTGCGCTTCAGATCCCTGCTTTTCCGCCTCGCTCAGTTTATCCGCGAGTTCTTTTGCCTTGTGAGCCTGGTTTTCGTACTCTTTTTCGACATTTTCTAGTGCATCTAGCTTCGATTTCAGTTCTTCATTTGCCTCGGCGAGTTTCTTGACTTCCTGCGATCCGTTTTCGCCTTTTTCGGGGTTCGAATTTTTGAAAGTATGAATTTTTCTTGCTAAAAATACGTCCAAGCCTAGGTTCATCATTTGAGAAACAATTACAAAGCTCAACCCTCTTTCCTGATGATTCTAGAGATTTCAACTTTTTCTGAAGCTTCGCCAGCTTCTGTTTATCCGCCAAGACAGCCGATTGCATTTTCTGAAGCGAGCATTCGAGCGCCGCTGATCGCTCCGTAAGCTGATCTCGCTCTTCCACGATGTTCTTCGAACTGGACTCGAGATTGATCAGTTTTTCTTCTAGCGACTCGTTTTTCTTTTCAGTCGATTCAAGCGCTTCTCGAAGAGGAATCGTGATGTTTTCCAAATCCTTGCATTTTAGATTGAGTTCGATGATCTCGGTTTCAGAAGATTTGACAAGATCTTGCGCGACAGTCAGTTTCTCCGCTGTCAAGGAAAGTTGCTCGGTAAGAGAAGAACATTCGCTTGATGAGAGCTGGAGTTTCCCTTCTAGTTCGGCCATTTCGCTCAATTTTCCGCTCTGCGCTTGGATCTCGCACTTGAGTTGTTCATTCTCCGCGCTCAGCAATTCCTTCTCGCCCATAAGCGCCGAGCTCGATTCTTTCAGCTGATCTATCAATTCATGGGCGGCTTGAGCAGCAGATTCGGATTCACTGAGCTTTGCTTCGGCTTTTTTGAGGTTTTCGTCGAGGATCTTCTTTTCGGCGAAAAGTTTCTTGCCCTTGAGCTTCATGTTTTCGAGCTTTTTGGTGAGCGAGTCGATTTCTTCAGTCTTTTTGGATCCTGATTCTTTTGACGAAACTGTCAATTCCTCGTTTTGCTCGCGCAAATGATTGATTTCTTCCAAGAAATTGATCTTTTCCGTCTCCAGGACGTTCAATTCTTCTTGCGACTTCTCCAGAATGCTTTGTGTCTCCTGTAGCTGACTGTAAATGCTTGTTTTTTCGTCCAGTGAAGCCTGAAGTTGAGCTGATGTTTCGCTCAATTCCAACTTGAGCTGAGTATTTTCGCCAGAAGCCGAATTGAACTTTGATTTCTCCGCTTCGAATCGCTCCAGAGCATCTTTCAATTGCTCATGCAAAGCGCTTGAATCTTGAGACGCGGCGACTTGGGCTTCTTGGGCATCGTTTAAGCTTTGTTCTAACGCTTGAATTCGGTCTTGATCGGCTTCTCGAAGGGATGTGAGTGAGGTTAGTTGATTTTGAGCAGCGAGAAGTTCTTCGGAAAGTGAGTTTGAAGATTCGTTGTTCTGGGAGTTGAGCGCGTCGATTTCAGCTTGAGCAGATGATAAAGAAGTTAAGAGTTCCTCTTTTTCTTGACTGAAAAGCCTTCTTTCTTCGCTAATTTCTTTCTGTAACGAGTCTAGCGACAATTTGTTCTGGATCTCAAGCGCTTCAAGCTGACCCCTAGCTTCGCTCAACTCTTTCTCCAGCTGTTCTGATTCCTCATATTTTTGCTTGAGACTTTCTTTGGTTGACTGGAGATCTTTTGCTGAAGATTTGAGATTTTCCTTCGCCGTCTTTGTCGACTTTTCCGTCTTTTCAAGTTGCGCTGCAGTCGTATTTAACTCCGCAGCAAGCGAGCTCGCCCGCTTTTCCTGATTCTTCAGCTTCTTTTTCGCCTCGTTGAGTTCTTTTTCCAGCGATTTATGAGCTTGCCCAACGTCCGATTCGTTGGCGGAAAGACGATCTTTCAATTTTCCGATTTCAGCGAGTCTCGAAGCAGATTCTTCCTGAGTTCCAAGAAGCTCTTCTCTGAGGATTTCTTTTTCTTGATCGAAAGCTGCAACGAGTGATTTGATCTCTTCTTCAGTTGCTTCGAGCTTCTCCTTGACTAGAATAGCTTCTTGGGCGATTTCAGACTGTTCTCTTAGCTCAGAATTGAGTCGGTCGACGTTTTCAGTGTTTGATTTCAGCTCGGCACGGAGTTTTTCGATGAGTTTCTTCGACTGGTCGAGTTTTTTCTTAAGATTTTCTTCGTTTTTGTTCTTTCCTTTTTGTTTTGGCACAGTTTGAGCGGTTTTTAGTTGGTTTCTCAGATCAGAAATTTCAGAATCCGCAGCAGCGATTTCTTCCTTTAGCGCATTTCTACTCTTTTCAATCGATCGAATTTCATTTTGAAGCTGTGAAATCATTTCATTACTCGCGTTTCCGCTTTCTTCTGCGTTTTCTTTCTCTGCGAGATTCGACTGTAGTTGAGAAATCAATCTTTTGAGTTCGGGGATTTCAGCGTTTTCTGTTTCCAATCCCTCGATTTTTTCAACATAAGAAGAGAGCTTTGATTCTGTCGATTCCTTCGCTTCATTTGCAATTCGAAGCGTCTCGGTCATTTCGGCGTTTTCCAGCTTGATCTTGTCGAACAAAACCATCGTTTCTTTGAGCGTTGAGAGTTGAGTTTCCGCTGCGGAAAGAGCGTCGTCTTTTTCAGCCAACGCGATCATGATTTCGCCTTTTTCCGCCAAAACCTCTCGGGCTGTCGATTCTTCCTCTCTTAGCATGTTTTTGAGCTCTTCAACGGTTCGCATTAGATTTTCATTTTCTTCAGTTCTTTCTGTGACTTTCTTCTCCAATTCTGAGCAGGTGAGTTTTAGCTGATCCAGTTCTTCGGAAAGAGAAGAAGAGTTACTTTGGACTTCGGTCATGTGTGTTTTGAGCGCTAAGAGTTGGTCTTCTCGGGCAGCTAGTTCGTCGCGGAGCTGGAGGATTTTGTCGTCGCGGTCGCCCATGATTTCATTTTCTTGAAAGAAGAGTTAGGGTTTCATTTTGAAAGAAGCAGGAAAATTTGACAACTATACTAAACTTTCAAACTAAAACTATAAGAGATATGGTAAAAAAAACACTTGTTCAGCCTTTGCAACGAACAAGGTCATTTATGAACAAACAATGAAGAAGAACAAGGGCTCTTTCGCTAGACTAGATGATTCGTTGTGTAAAAATGCTAGAAATATCATGCGGTTGATAGTGACTTCGAGATGAGTGGTTTCTTACCGAAATTCATGCTAGCTAAAATTATCAAAAATATTTTCAAAGCTATTCAAGAAGTTTAAACCTTGTTCGATTTCCGACAATCTTCCCTGAAGAGCCTCCAATTGCCCTTCTCTTGCTTCTAGCGTCTTCACCAGCTGTTCCTTCTCCTCCTTCAATTTTCCTACTTCTTCTGACTCTTCTTTCTTCCCCTTAGATTCTGCCTGCAGTTTCTCCAATTCCGACTGTAGTTGCTTAACTTTGACCTGCTGCGCCTTCATAATCTGTTTCGCCTTTTCCTTCTGTCGGTTGAAATTCGCTTCTCGCTCGGCGAACTCGCTCCGGGCCGTGTCAAGCTCTGCCTTCATCGTTTCAAGATCCGACATTTCCGAGAGAATTTTTGAGTATTCGGCGATTTGTGAGTTTTTTGCTTCGAGTTCTTCCGCGAAAAAACGCTTTTCGTTTTGCTTTGAGGGGTATTTAAAACAGTAAGTTATTACAGTATTAACTTACTTTATTCCTAGTGCGGGATATTCTTGATTGACAAGGTTTTCAGAGGAATAAGGAGATAATTGAATCCTCAATCATACTGTTCTGTTGCAATAAATATCTGTAAAACCATCTGTCAAAATACCCATCAGAGCCGGTTTATTCAAACATCTTTCTAATTGAAAGATTAACGGTTGCGAATAAACAAATAATTGTCAACATCTTTGCGCTTGTTTTTGTTTTTAAAGGAAAAAATTCTCTAGAATAGAAGGGATTTCGGTGTTTGTTTTCGTGGTTTTGTCAGATACAACTTTGCATCTCTAAAGGTACAATGGTTGATCCTCGATTGGGAAGGGCACTTTATCACGTCGCTTCCCAATCGAGGACTCGGTCCGCACCACACTTCTCTAGAGATCGGCTCGCTATATGCGCTGCCGCTTCCCAATCGAGGACTCGGCGCGCGCTTCCCAATCGAGGATCAACCATTGTAACTGCTTTTTTGTTTTCTGTATGTTTCTAACTTCCTGTAGCACTGATGATGCCGAAAGGCGAAAAGCTTCTGCAATAAACGAGATAATGTATTAAATACTCGTCAACTTTACGATATAAACAAATAACTTACATTCTTATTCAGATACTCATTTCAACAAACCGGTTTGATTGACGACCCAATTTTCTACTTGAATTTTTGAATTGCTGATCAGCTTATCAATCAAAAATCGTCCCATATCTGCCGGCAAAATAACATCTTTATACCCCTTTCCTTAGATTGCAGCGCCTCTGTCAGTAAATCTTCCGCTTCATGCGCGTATTTCCGCTCTTCTTCGACCCGTTTCTCGAGTTCGGCAACTTTGTTCTTCCAGTTTGAAACTAAACTGTCGGCCGATTTTTCTTCCCACTCGGCCAGTTGTCTCTCAAGGGCCTAAAGCAGACAGTAAAGGAAAAAGCAAAAATAACCGGCAAGGGAGCTGCGGCACCTGCTTCGGCCGCGGGTCACGTCGGCCATTGACTCTGAGGCGATCGACTCTGACAGTCAGTTCACCCGTGACCACTCATTGAGGTGAACGTCATTTTCAATATTTGATTTTTGAATAATTATTTTCGAAAAAGATGAAATAAATGAGCAAAATAATTGAAAATTTATGAATTCAGAGCAAAGCTAACAAAGTCGCTTCAGACTAAAAAAGAACGCGAACAAGGGGCCATCCCCAATTCTGAATAATGTCCCCTTGTTCGCCTTCCTTTCTTAGACTGAAGCGACTTTGTTCGCTCTTCTGCCAATTTCTATTTTTTTTCCAAGGTTCATTTTAATCGTTTATTATATATGAATAATTAACTTACTTGAATCTGTTTTGATTTTTCTTCATTAACTTTAACTGAATTTTGAAGAGCCTTAAAATATTTTCTTGAAAAAAAATTTTTTTCGAAAAGTTACTTTTGCGTGAATTCTCTCGACATTTTTCAGTTTTCTCTTCCATTTTTCGTTGATGACTTCGAGTTGATTTTCTTCTTTATTCTCTTTTTCGTCATTTTGCATAATTTTTGCCAATGACGAGCTGTTTATCTTTTGAAAATCTGGAAAAGGACAAAATCTGTAGGCGGCGCGGTGGGAAGAATTTTATTGACCTAGGCTGCCGTCTTGACGGTTTTTTTTTCCTTTTCATTTTTGAAAAGAAAAGTGGTCACGTGGGCATTGGACAGTAAAAATCCAAATTTGAAAAAAACTTTTTTTTTGGAATTTCAATTTTTTATTGCTACCATCGAATTCCCCATATTTGAAAACCTAGAAAAAAATTATTTGTTTAGACAGGGGGTCTTCTAAATCTTTTCTAACTATCATCTAAAATAGCAAAAATGCCCTTTAGGAAAAGCTTCTTTTGAGAGGGTTGCCGGATTTTTTCTTTTGATTTCTTTATAGGATCATCAAGAGACAAGTCTGAGACAGTCGGCGAACCAAAGAAAATAAGAAAGTTTCAATGTCTTCATGCTTAAAATAGGCATTTAAAAACGTGAAATTCGTCAAAAACAACGAGAAACGTGTAAAAACGCTGCACGGTCAGTAATCGGCATTCTATTGAGCAAAAAAAGTCGAACAAGTCAAAGGGAAGATATTTCGATATAAATGCCTATCGAAATATATTTATATATATTAATCTTTCAGATCTCCTCTTTAAATACACACAGATTCGACTATTTCGCGTTTTTTCAATCAAATGAATTATCTAGGCTTCTTCGAAACGCAGCACGACTAATTTTTTACGCAAATTATTATTTTTGAATGCTTAAAAATAACCATTTATTTTAAAGATGGTCGAAATCTTCGAGCCTCCAGTCTGATTTTTCTCGTGCTGGTTCAAATAGAGTCACTTATCATGTGCACAAAATTTCATGCGTTTTGAAGTGCAGCGCGACCATTTAAAGTATAAATTATTAGATAAGCTTTTATCAGCTCTAGAATCTGATTTTTCGAGCCTCCAAGCTAATTCCTCTTAACAAAAGTTCGGTTACTATTAGGTACCCGCATGCAAAATTTCATACAATTTCAGACGCAGCGCGACCCTTTTTGACTGAATTGTATCGAAATTTTATAAAAATAGCCATTTATAAGTAAGTTTTGGCCCTAGAATCCGATTTTCGAGGGCCTCCAATCTAATTTTTCGAAAGCGAAGTAAACCGAGTGCATTCTATCATATTGCAAAATTTCAATCGATTTGAGGCGCAGCGCGACCATTTTTTACAAAAATAATAATTATAACCACTATAAAGTAAGTTGTCAAAGAAAATTGGTCGCGCTGCGTCTCAAATCGATTGAAATTTTGTAGACAGATAGAAAACACGCATTTTACCACGCTTGAGAGAAATTGGGTTGGAGGCCCCTCAAATTTTGACTCTAAGGCCAAAATTAAATAATAAATGCCTATTTCTTTAATTTATTTAAAAAATGGTCGCGCTGCGCCTCAAATCGATTGAAATTTTGCAATATGATAGAATGCACTCGGTTTACTTCGCTCTCGAAAAATTAGATTGGAGGCCCTCGAAAATCGGATTCTAGGGCCAAAACTTACTTATAAATGGCTATTTTTATAAAATTTCGATACAATTCAGTCAAAAGGGTCGCGCTGCGTCTGAAATTGTATGAAATTTTGCATGCGGGTACCTAATAGTAACCGAACTTTTGTTAAGAGGAATTAGCTTGGAGGCTCGAAAAATCAGATTCTAGAGCTGATAAAAGCTTATCTAATAATTTATACTTTAAATGGTCGCGCTGCACTTCAAAACGCATGAAATTTTGTGCACATGATAAGTGACTCTATTTGAACCAGCACGAGAAAAATCAGACTGGAGGCTCGAAGATTTCGACCATCTTTAAAATAAATGGTTATTTTTAAGCATTCAAAAATAATAATTTGCGTAAAAATTAGTCGTGCTGCGTTTCGAAGAAGCCTAGATAATTCATTTGATTGAAAAAAGCGAAATAGTCGAATCTGTGTGTATTTAAAGAGGAGATCTGAAAGATTAATATATATAAATATATTTCGATAGGCATTTATATCGAAATATCTTCCCTTTGACTTGTTCGACTTTTTTGCTCAATAGAATGCCGATTACTGACCGTGCAGCGTTTTTTCACGTTTCTCGTTGTTTTTGACGAATTTCACGTTTTTAAATGCCTATTTTAAGCATGAAGACATTGAAACTTTCTTATTTTCTTTGGTTCGCCGACTGTCTCAGACTTGTCTCTTGATGATCCTATAAAGAAATCAAAAGAAAAATCCGGCAACCCTCTCAAAAGAAGCTTTTCCTAAAGGGCATTTTTGCTATTTTAGATGATAGTTAGAAAAGATTTAGAAGACCCCTGTCTAAACAAATAATTTTTTCTAGGTTTTCAAATATGGGGAATTCGATGGTAGCAATAAAAATTGAAATTCCAAAAGTTTTTTCAAATTTGGATTTTTTCCGTCCATTCTCAAGAGGACTTCTTTCAAAGCGAAGAATAATGAGTAACCGACCCTGTCTGATATTTTTTATTATTTTTAGTTAGTTTACGTAAGAATTTTGACATTTTCGACGTAAAAGTATTACGTATTAGTAATACGGTTTTACGGTAATACCGTATTACTAATACGGTTTTCGACGAAAACTTTTCGTGATATCGATGGAGAATATTGAGATGTCATCTTGACAGATTTTGAGACAGATATGGATAGCAGAGAGCTGCTTTGTTAGTTGAAAACTTGACACTGTCAAGTTGACAGGGCATAATCGGAGAAGATCGTCAAAGTGTTCTGCCTTCGTGATTTTTATGTAACATTATCGACGATTATCAATCGTTGTTTCGGGATATAACGAGGAAGTTACTTACCGAAAGCGAAGAAAAGCGAATACGCCTTTAGCGTACCGTATTCGCAACCGTCCTTTTCAAGACCGCTTAGCCGCTCGCTCGCTCATCTTGAGATCATTGAGCGGTGAATCAACATTTTCTCTCGTGTTTTTGGTCGCTTGAGTGGGCAAATGAAGAAAATTATAGAAAAATCATCATAAAATATATTTGAAGAAAGAAAGCACTGCTTAGAGTCCGCTCGCTCAAAGTCCGCTAGCTCAGCTCCGGGCTCATTTTTGACTATCCGCTCAATCTCCGCTCCGATCAGGAATGGGGGAAGAAACAGCTTTCTCGATTTTCGACTGTCGGTATTAACAAGAAAATCATAGATTTATTTATGATAATTAAATTTCCTTAAAAATGCTCCTAGAATAGGGGTTGAACTTTACAAAAATTTAAATGGATTTTGTTTAGCTATCACGGGACTGGACATATTCGAGGTTGAAAATTGGCTAAAATCGGTAGTTTTCAAGAGATGAGTTGCTTCTGAGCCAACTTACTCAATAATCTGTTGACTAAAACAAATTTCAAGGGAGATGTTCTTAGATCTAACATGGATCTATAGATACATGTCGAGAAAATGTGGTAATCTAAAGTACTCTTATCAGTAGCGCCGGTCAAAAATCGCCTTTTTTCGAAAAAGCTGTTTCTAACACCTTAACGCCGTCGACCGCTCAGCCGCTCGCTTAGTTCAACATCTTTTTCAGCAGAATTTGAACCCTGACTGAAGAATCGACATACTGTATGCCACATACCGTAACCATATATAAGTGCACATAATTTATTACAAAAAATCAAGTGAAAGAAAAAGAAGAGAGTACGAAATTTGGCAATGACGATCTTTTTAGTTGAAGCCATTACTCAAGATTTTGACAGAAAGAGATTGAGGAGAAGGACAGAATGACAGATATAAAAAATCAGGAAAAAAGTCAAAAATTATCGCAGTTTCGAGTATTCGTCGTAAACTCTCCTCTTCATTTGAACATCAACGGACAGCCTTGTTCGTTGTATTGAAACGCCTCCACGGAGAAATGAGCAAGTTTTGTAAGTCCTCCTGCTTGTGAACTTCGTTTCTGTTTGAACCAGCGCACAGTCAGACATGAAAGCGCAGAGATAGTTGCAGTCCAAAGCGCTGAAGCCGGTTTTCTCGAATATGAAGTTCTGGAGAGTCGGAATTTGAGAGAGATCACATTTGCCATCCTTGTGGATCCTTCCTGTGTCGCAAAAGGCGTCATTCTGCCTTGTCGGGCTTTGGAACAGCGATGCAGTACGGCAGAGAGAAGTACAGTCAGCTTTCGAGTCGACAGCGAATGGATAAGCCAAATCGACTTCCAATCCGACCAGTTTTTCGAATCGAGACAAAGGAACTCCAACGTAGTTTGAAGAATAAGCAAGGGCAGATGATATCGAGACAAATTATACTTTCATTTTCTTGATTGAAAACAGTTTTTTGAATGCTGCAATCATGGAAGAGAGATGCGCTTTTATACCGAAAATTGGTGCTAAAGAGTCCTGAGTAAAGGGCGCTCTTCTTAGTTTCTAACAGCAACAGTCTTTTTACGATGGCGTTATTGCCAACTAGACTTTCTGAGTCAAATAAGAATCTTTCCGAAAAGGCTAAGCTTAGCTGCCAAAAATCTGAAAGTAATCGTCTGCGCCAGAGTCGTAAATGTAGTAAAATGTCGACTCCCATTTATAGAAAATTAAAATTTTCCATTACACAACTACCATAACTACATCCCAAAATCATCATTATCGCATTGACGAAAATTTCTTCTTGTATCGTTTATTAGCATGAGAAATAGCAGTGTACAAAAAAGGAAGTTACTTGAACGAGTTGCAATTACTATTGTATGATTCTAGAGATCCACGACAGAATCGTCTTGACGCGGCGAAGCTGGATTCTTCTGTTCTAGAGCAGCTCGCGAGCTTTTGAAAAAGTTATTATGAGGATTAAATGTCAGCTTTCTTACCTGTTTGAAGTTGTAAACGAGCTTCCATCCCTCGTCGGCAGTTCCTGATAGCCGTAAGTGATGACTTTCGCATGCCTATTGCTCGTCATTTCCGACTGCTTCGTCTTCTCTTTTGACTCGATCGAATCAACATCGCTCGACGTATTCCAATTTTCTCACTCGCCGCTTTTACTGCATTCGCCGCTGAATTCGCCTGGTTCGTTGTGTTGACAAAAGTCTTCATTGTTCCCATCGAGCTGGCGCCCAAATCCGAGGTCGGCAGTTCCGGCCCTGTTTTGCAGCTGCTTTTTGAGCTCTTCTTCGAAATCGAACTGTTCCTCGTGTTTTTGGATTTTCTTGGAAGAGTGCCGCGAGTAATGTCGATTCGCTCGAATGTGTCTGCTTGGACTTCGTGGAGGTTTTGGGGCGGTTTTGGGAGGAAAGGATGTTGGGCTGATTTCGCCGCTGAATATATTTTAGAAAAATAGGCTGAATGCATCATCTCTAAACGCTAAATTTCTGGGCTCAGATGCTCAAAGAACATCGTTTAAAACAATAATCTGATCCTTGAGCTCCTGCCCTGCCGATAAATCATACCATGGAGTTGAGCTCTAAGTGGAGATAGGAGAATCTGAGCGACGCTGGCCCTGAGCGTCGCTCAATGTGGAGCGCGCCTAATTCAGCGCCAAAACCTGGACTTCGCCTTCTCGATTCTTTGATTGGCTGAATCCCTTCATTTCCGCAGAAATGAGTTTCGAGATTCTTCTGAAGCGCCCACCACGCGCTAAGGAAAATTTCTAGACTTCCCCGCAAGTGATCTGCGCGGGAAACGGGAAAGGGGACCCGGGGGCTTTCTCCACTTAGAGCTCAACTCTATGGTATTTCGGCGCCCCGCTGACTCGGTTTTTAAAAACCTCCTAAAAGTCCCTTCTTCGCGCTTATCGCCTCCCCGTGAAATTCAAAACTAAGCTACAGAATGTGGCGCCGTGATAATATTCGCGCTGGCGCTGCTTTGATCCCCGCTGCGAAATGATAAAAAGAGTGCTCAAGTTCTTGGCGGTTTTTTCGAAATACAGGTGAAATAAATTCTTAGGGAAAAAAGAAAGTTTTTTAATTAAGAAAGTGATACCCTTATTTTGTCAAATCTCAGATTTAGAAAGTTTTTGATAAAAAATTTTAAGATAGTGATACCCTTATTTTTCCATCGAAACAAAACTCAAATTTTCATCTAAATTTAAGGTCAAATAACTTATTTGAAATAAGGGTGTCACTATCTTAGCTCTGCTCTTCTTCAAAAACCGCTGAATTTCTGAAAAAATGAAAAGAAAAACCTGATTGGGCGAATTTTTCGTTAATTAAAGGCTATAACCTCTCTTTTGGCCGCTCTGGAAAACGGACTTCCCTTGATCCATTTCAAAAATTTAAAAGCGAACATATTTGTTTTCCCCTAAAGAATTCAAAAATGCCATCAAAAATACTTTTCTTTGGTAATTTTTTGCTCTAGAATCATTTAAAAATCGCCATTCGGTTTTCCGAGAAAACTGGAAGTTCTGAGGTAGAATTAACCCGATAATAATATTGAATAGAGCATATTCTATGATTCCTACCGAAAAATTTCAAAGAATTGTCCAAATTATGATTATAGTTCTCTCTTCTTTTAAAACTCTTTTGTTTATAGACTGACGCTTGAGATCCGCACAGCCAATCACAGCGCGATGAATCGCTTGACTCACACGCTCGCCAACAGCGCTCTCTTTCTGGCCTGGAGGATAGCACTCCGCTCAGCGCGTCCACGCGCATTTTTAACCTCAAGTGCCAGCACTAACATGGCCCTAGAATGAAAATTTGAGGAGATATCGAAGATTTTCTCCGTGAGGATTGTAGAGAAGGCTTTAATGTATTAATTGATCGAAAAAATCTACCTCTGTAATGGTAAAATTCTTCGGAAAACCGAATGGCGTTTTTGAATGATCGTAAACTCAAAATTTCGAAAGAAAAATAATTTTTGATCGCATTTCTGAAATCTGCGATAGATTTTGAGTATATGAGCCTTTTTAATTTTTGAAATCGACCAAGGGAAGTCGGTTTTCCGAAGAGGCCAAAAGAGAGGTTATAGCCTAAAGTCCTTGTTCTTTTACGTGAGTTCTTGATTCTCGAAAGGAACCTTGATTCTCCGAAAATTAACGCGATTTTTTCCCGAATCTTCGAAAAGATTTCTCGCTTTGGGTTTTTGAATCCCTTTTGTTATCTTCAAGAGGCGCAATTAGCGTCACTCACGAAATTGTTACTGCTGCATCATTAAGCCGATTACGAGCCCCGTTTTTGTTCTTAGCTACTGTTACCTTTCTAATATACACACAGGCTCCAATCAGCATCAAACAAAGCATAAGCGCTGCAATTCCCACTCCCAGGCCGATCACGAGCATTTCGTTTGGCTCTCGTTCCAAGGAGCTCTCTTCCATGATTGCACTCGTTTCTTCGATTTTGATGATTTTGTCGAAGACCTCGACGCCCGATGAAGATTCTTCTGTTAAAATAATCGTTTCAGTTAGCTCTGAAATTTCTTCTGTAACTTCAGGAGAGGAGCTTTCAGGAAAGATGTTTTTCGACGAAGATCTTTTTATTGGATCAAAAAATTTTTTTTTGAAAATTTTAAGGGTTAGGGTAATTTTTTTAAAAGATAAAAATTCATTCAAAAATAATTTTTTAATTTTTTTGTTCCATTTTTTGACCGAATCGCGGATTTTTGAAGCAGGAATGAAAAATATTTCTTAAAAATTTTTTCTCTTTTTCAATGTCCAAAAATTTCACTGCGAGCTGTGAAAAGAAAGTAAAAATTTATGACGGTCGTGTCTATCACTCATGTCAGCGCGGGGCTAAAAATTGGGGCGCATGTTTAGTTTTTGTCGATCCGAGCCTTTGTGTGTTGAAGGTGTCGCCTTTGTAATCCACCTCGATATTGTCGAAGATCGTCTCGTCTTAATAAAGCATCAATTTTTCCTGCGATTCCTCGAAAGGATCCGGAGATGATCCGGTTTTAATTTGATCGCTCGGCTTTTAGGAAAAGAGGGGTTGAAAATTGAAAAGCGAAAAATGAGGGCGGGTTGAGATTTTTACAAAAGAAATAACAAGTTGACACCCTTAATTTTTATCAGAAGAAAGCTGGATTGCTCATTTAATTTTTCATAGGAAAAAATTTAAAATTCAGAAAGTATTTTTATTAAAAAATTGAAAAAATAAAAATGCCCAAATTTTCCGCGTAAATGAGAAAATATATTTGTTGATTGAGCTTTTTTTTTGCGAATTAATACCTATTCTTACGTGTATTTGCAAATCTTTCTCCCTCCCCTTTTCTCAAAATATCTGATATCTCTCCTCAATTACCACGGGACACTTGAAAGACTCAAAATGAGCTAATTATTTCAATCTGAGCGATTTAACGGGCTCAACGGACAAGCGAACCGTGAACTTCTGACGAGAAAATGCGGTAAATTCAACGCGAAGAATAATTTGAAGTCGAGTTTGAAATTGGCAGAAAATGAAAAAGAAAAAAATGAGGACTCTTCTTTTGTTCCGTAATTGAGGGACAGAAGCAGGGATAAAGCGAAAAACAGCTGTTTTCTTCAAAAATAAAGCTTCTGATAAAATTTTCCCAAGCACAGGAACCTGTGTAAAAACCTGAGTCAGGGTTCTGAAAATGTTTTAACAACGCGGCTTTTTTTTCAATAAAGCCGCGATTCGGCTTCGCCAAACTTACCATCTCAGATTTTTTCAATACTCAGGAATCCAGAACCTGTGTTGAATTCCTGAGTCAGGGCCCTGAAAAAATAAAATTCAAAAAAGATGGAATATTTAGGCGATTTCGTTTTAAAATCGTCACTTTCAAAATAATTTGTAGAAAATCCTGACTCAGGTTTTTAAAACAGGAACCTGAGTGAAGTTTTTTCGGATCTCTGAGATCTTGAAAATTGCTAAGTTAGAAAGTCAAGTGCATTTTATCGTGAACTAAAGCCGTCAATTTGTGTTTGTTTAAAAAGTGCTCGTGGTGTTACGTTATCGTATTTTCTTGAGCTAGCTCTTCTCCTCGAGAGCTCGCAATTTTCTAAAGTCATCAGGTGAACACTTACCTTGAAAATCTCCACTTTGCGCGTTTCCCAGCTTCGCTAGAAGAAAAATCTTGACGATTAAATCCTTCCGGAGCATTCTTCTTTATTCTCGCTGCTTCTCTAAACACGAATCTTTTGAAAAAAACGAAATGGTGATTACTCTCTATTTTGAGCGCTTGATTGAAAAAATATAAATTGAAAAAGAAGAAAACTTGAAATTGGGATGGCCCCTGGGGCGATCATCAATGGGCACTGGCTGAGAGGGGCGATAGTTACTGTATAATTCCAGCTTGATTATATCGAGATTATTTTCATCAGATCTGAGCGATGAGAATTGCTACCCTTCGAGGCAACCGATTTTTCTAGAATTTGGGGTTAGGGTTAGGGCTACGGTTAGGGTTATGCAAAAGGAATTTCCTTGGAGCGTCAGGGTTAGGGTTGAGATTAGGGTGGGCCCGAAGGACTTAACTAATATATGGAAGTGCATTTTCGGATAACCAATAAGATCGCTGTATTGCGCCTACCGGCCAAGCAAAACCCTGATACATAAAATCACTTTCATTAATTGGTTGAACCTGTCCCGAAGGATGGCCCCTTGATATCGGCAATTCATGCAGAAAACCTAAATCAGGATTCCTGACTCAGGAAGCTCTTTTCGAGACCTTGAGTTATGTTTTCTACAGAAATTGCCGATCCAAGATTCTCCCAATCTTCGAAGTTAGCGATTGTTTTATTGACAGTTTCCGAAAAATAATTCTCCCAAATAAACTTTGTTTTTGTCCATTATCATTCTTCTCTATCAAAATTGGAAACGAATCCAGAAATAGAACAACCATGAAAATAGCTGGGCTACGCGGAACTACGTGTTAGCATCCTCAAAATACTCAAAGTATGAAACCAAAATATTTTAAATTAACAAAACCTCCTCATCTACCGGTAGATCAATACAACTGCCTTTCTTTCCAAAGAAACTGTATTTTGAAGCACCTTTTTGACTCAAATTCGATCAGCGTTTGATATTTTAGAAGCCAAAATTTCTCTCTTTGGATATTATTTTCCACGGTTTCGGGCGGATTCGATAAAATTATCTTCGGTCAGTCAGTGACCTCAATTTTACTGAATCGATATTTTGCATTCTTAATTCCCAGATGGGCCCGAGCGACTTGAGCAGGAGCAAAATTTCACGCCAGCGCGTGATTTCAAGCTCATTAGCAAAATACTTTAGAAAGAACGGATTAAACAAACAGTTCTAAAAAGAACTTGACGCGAAAAAAAATCGAGGAAAAAAGATGATGTCCATTTTCTAGCTCTTCGATAATATGCAATTTAAGCCATCCGCAGATCCGGAAATTTAATTTTCCGTTTAGCAACAATAAACAACGCCCGTATTCAAAATTCAGTCGAAAAACGCTCCGGCTTGAATTGAGTTAATCGACCAAAGGAACTTCCAGCTCAGAAATTCCTCGACTCGAAAATACTTGGTCTGGAAAGCCAACGGTACTCTGTCAGAACGCCCGGGCGCTGGGAACATACCATAAAATGCATTTTTACAAAGTCGACTAATTAACCACCCCAATTTCCAGCTTCCGCGGTTTTATTTTTAATTTTTGAGGTCTGAACTTTTTGCTTTTTTTTTCGGGAGAAATTTAGGACAACAAATTTTTTTAAATAGTATTTCCTCGGCTCGAAAACCTGTGTGAAAAACCTGAGTCAGATTCTAGAGGACTCAAATAAAAAGTCGCGTAGCGGCTTCTTTAAGAATAGAGCCGCTTTGCGGCTTTTCATTGTTGCCCTCTAGAACCTGACTCAGGTTTTTTAGGGATCAGAAACCTTTGTAAAAAACCTGAGTCAGGTTCTAGAGGGCTCAAATGAAAAGCCGCAAAGCGGCTTTATTCTTAAAGAAGCCGCTAGGCGGCTTTTTATTTGAGCCCTCTAGAATGTGACTCAGGTTTTTACACAGGTTTCTGAGCCCAAGAATATCTTATTTAATTTTCGAATGAATCATCATTTTTTCAAAACGCGTCTCAATTATTAACCCATCCCCTGACTTATGTATGCTTAGAGGAACGGGGGTGCGTCAGCGTCTGAAGTGCTCACGCAATGGCTTTTGAATAATTAGTAGCCACAGAATCGAATTTGCCTCTTCAAACGTGTCCTTGCTCGGTCACATGACCTTCACGGCCGGTGGCGCGCCGCAATCCCTATTTTTGCCTGACCAGAAAGCCCATTCCCAAACTGATTGAACCGGGCGTTCTCGACTCCGCAAAAAACGAATTCGGAATTCCAAAGATTTGGCGGAAATGAATAAACCCGATTTTTTTCGACCTCAAAATTTTTCTCCACCGAAACCTTTTTTCGAAGAAACGGACAAAATGCACATGATCTGGGTCTTTAACCAGTCGACCTCGAAAATGCTCATAGCTCGCGAAAATTACGAGCACTGGGCCGCTTCAATCTGATGATTACATCTTATTCGCGGTCGTTAATTGTTACTTTCGAACGAAAATGACAGTGCTCATTATTTCTTTCTAAATAACGAAAATACGTTTCTTTTCATCTTTTTTTCTAAAAGATTAATAAATCCGCTTTTTCTGAAATTCTCAGGTTTTCGACCTTTTATTTTTTTGTAATCAAAATCATTTTAATGAATGAATAGAGGTTTTTTTGCGTTTAGACATCTGATTTTTATATCTAGGGTCTCGACATGTAAAAGTTTAAAAAATATGAGAAAGAACAAGAAAATTCAAAAATTATGGTTTTTTGAAAAAACTCACCAAAATCTTCCAAAATCCCTTTTTTCTTACTTTCTCTCTCTATTTTCTTTCTGTTGTTTAACCTTTTTGACACCTCTGATTCTCCGACTTCTCGCCAAATTAGCTGCTCTCCGAGGACGGGGCCAAATTAAATCGATAAACACACAGACGCACTTTCAAATATCGACTCCGATATTATATGGGGCCTCGTATAAATATCGCCACCAGCATCAGCAGCAGGAGAAGAGGGAGCAAATATTTGCAAGGGTTGGAAAATTTCAAATCGGTAAATATCGCCGGAGCAAAATTTGGTTTGAGGGAGAAAGAGAGGATGAAAGTATTGGAAAGGGATCGACTGGGAGTCATTTGTCAGAATGGGTTATTTTTCAGAAGGCGGTCTGAAGATAATTTTGTGATAAATGAATTCATTGACGATTGAATTTATCAAGTTTGAGTAAAATAAGGCTCTTTTGATAGAGATTTTTTGACGAAAAATCTGAGTCGCATATTATTATTTGAAGCTGAGTTTTCTCAAGTCTGGCTAAGACTAAAAAATCTCAGCGCTAGATATTTTCACTATCGTCGATTTCTTGTTTTTCTTTGCCTATCTTAGCTGCTTTAGAAAACCTCAAGCCCGTGATTGATTCTGTTGTTAGACAAACTTCCGAGTTCCTTTCGCCTTCTTGATATTTTTAGATCACTTAGATAAACATTCGTTTATGCTCATCCCAGCAGGAAAAATCCGGACTTAGGGACTTTTTTCCGATGGGCGTGGTCTGTTCTGGCGAATTCAATATTTTAAAATAAACTGTAGTTATAATTCATGATTGTTAAACGAATTTGATTTTTATTTTTGATTTTTGAATAAAATTTTTCTTTAATTTTAAAAATTTTTGAAGTTAAATTTTTTTTTTTTTTAGAATTTTTTCTAAATTTTTTTTTTTATTTTTTTAGAATTTTTTCTATAATTTTTTTTTGATTTATTTAAAGATCGAAATCCTAGAAAAAATTTGAAAAAAAAAGTTCATTGAACTGAAAACTCTTCGAACCCCGGAGTTGAATTTGCAACAAAGTGGCAGTACCGTTTTTTAACCTAGTGGCAATAATTGGCCGTTTCCGTCGTTCAACCGAATCCGCTTACATTCCCCGCTTTCTCATCACTCGCTAATCATCCCCTTCTTTATTGTCAGAAAGAATTTCCCCACGGGAGCTACTCAAATATCTCGACCACTCTTTACGAAGCCCCAAATCAGCCAGATTCCAGCGACTGTCTAAAAGCAATTCTTCCGAAAAACAAAACGGAAAAACGACGAAATGAGAAAGTGACAACAGAACGTTTAATTTGTTGCCAGCACGTTCTAACAAGAGAACGTCTTTATCAGTGATAAGGCCGTGTTACCGACGTGGTAACTTTATCGCTTACATGTCGCTTGTCGAGCATTTTAAAATTCAACTCATTTCGTTTTTATCTTCAATTGGTGACAAACATACATAACCATTTTGAAGAAAAAACGCTTCAGACTTGAATTTGACCCATCATATTTCTGTACCGGTAATTACCGGTATTCGGCAGGCAGGCCAATCAAATTTCAGAAAAAAATATTGTCGAACGAATGTCCTCGAATGTCTACGAATGTCTCTGAATGTCCCGAGTGTCCCGAGTGTCCCCAAATGTCTCCAAATGTCTCCGAATGTCTGTGAATGTCTGTAAATGTCTGTAAATGTCTGTGAATGTCCTGAATGTCTCAGAATTTTTTTTTCGATTCGAGTTGCCAGGCCTTTAATTTACATCAGAGATAAAATAAGGGAGTCTCTTTTATAATGACCTTTGTAAATATTGTGTAAAATATTTCCGATGACAACATTATTACTGGTAATTATTAAATAATTAAGAGCAAAGTGCTCCTTTCAGAGAGTAATTTGTTTTAATAATTTCTGTAACATGATTTGCACCAATCGAAAATCAACCCTTTCGCAATTTGCAGGCGTGAAAGCTTCGCTTATTTTCCCTCAATTCGCAAATGTGATTATCCACCGTAAGACGTAATAAAAACAATTAAACACAACTGGCGCGACACGTTTTTAGGGAGCTCGCTTTAGAACCTAATTTTAGCGGGACACAAGTTCTTTTGCTTCTGAAAAGGATGTCCGAAGACACGTGTATAATTTAATTCGACGATCATGAGATAACGTGAGCAGGTTCCTTTTGAAAAAAAGAGCTGGGCTCGGCAACCTGTGTAGATAACCTGAGTCAGGGTTTGAAGAGATAAAATGAAAAGCCGCGTAGCGGCTTTTTTTTAAAACGAAGCCGCAAAGCGGCTTTACGAAAAATGAAAAACAGAAA